CAGAGAATTATCCCAATTTTTTGGTACTGGTTGAGATGTGATTTGTGACCCAGTATGTGATCTGTTCTGGAGAATGTTCCATGTGCACTCCAGAAGAATGTGTGTTCTGTTGCTCTAGGGTGGAATGCTCTGAATATACCTGTGAAGTCCATCTGGTCCAGTGTGTCATTCAAAGGCCTTGGTTCCTTGTTGATCTTCTGCTTAGATGATCTGTCCATTACTGTGAGTGGGGTGTTAACGTTCCCTACTATTTTTGTATTATTATTGATGTGTTTCTTTAATTTTATTATTAATTGGCTTATATAATTGGCTAGTCCCATCTTAAGGGCATAAATATTTTCAATTGTTAGATCTTCTTGTTGGATAGACCCTTTGATTATGATATAGTGTCCTTCCTCATCTCTTATTAAGTCTTCAGTTTTAATCTAATTTGTCTGATACAAGTGTTGCCACACCAGCTTTCTTTTGATATCCATTAGCATGATAAATGGTTTTCCACCCCCTCACTTTCAATCTGGAGGTGTCTTTGGGTCTAAAATGAGTCTCTTGCAGGTAGCATATGGATGGGTCTTACTTTTTTTATCCAATATGATACCCTGTGTCTTTTTTTATTTTGTTAAAGATTTCATTTATTTATTTGAGAGAGAGAGAGAGAATGAGAGAGAGAGAGCATGAGCGGGGGAGGATCAGAGGGAGAAGCAGTCTCCCCTCCGAGCAGGGAGCCTATGTGGAACTCGATCCTGGGAATCCACGATCATGACCTGAGCCGAAGGCAGTTGCTTAACCAACTGAGCCACCCAGGCACCCCTACCCTGTGTCATTTGATTGGGGCATTTAATCCATCTACAGTCAGAGTAACTATTGGAAGATATGAATTTAACAGACCTGTACCCCTGAAACAAATAATACATTATATGTTAATTAAATGAAAAAAACAAAAACAAAAAACAAGCGAAAAATAAAGTGGGTTTCCTGTAGGTGGGAAAAAAAAAGAATGATATGAATTTAGTGCCATTGTATTACTTGTAAAGTCACTGTTTCTGTATATTGTCTCTGTTCCTTTATGGTCTATGTTACTTTTGGGTTTTCTCTTCACTTAAAGGATCCCCTTTAATATTTGTTGCAGGGCTGGTTTAGTGATCACAAATTCTTTTTGTTTCTGTTTGTCTTGGAAGCTTTTTATCTGTCCTATTTTGAATGACATTCTTGCTGGATCAAGTATTCTTGGCTGCATATTTTTCTCATTTAGTGCTCTGAATATATCATGCCAGTCCTTTCTGGCCTGCCAGTTCTCTGTGGATAGGTCTGCTGCTAGTCTAATATTTCTACCCTTGTAGCTTATGTACCCTCCTGTCCGGAGCTGCTTTCAGGATTTTCTCTTTTGTCTGACAGCTGCCAGTTTCACTATTGTATTTTGAGGTGTCAAGCTATTTTTATTGATTTTGAGGGGGGGTTCTCTGTGCCTCCTGGACTTGAATGCCTGTTTCCTTCCCCAGATTATGGAAGTTCTCTGCTATAATTTGCTCCAATATACCTTCTGCCCCTCCCTTTTCCTCTTCTTCTGGGTTCCCACTTATTCTATTGTTGTTTCACTTTATCATATTCTCTCAAATTCTCTCCTTGTGAGCCAGTAGCTGTTTATCTCTTTTTTTCTCAGCTTCTTTATTCTCCATTATTCTGTCTTCTACATCATTAGTTCTCTCTCTTTGCCTCATTTATCCTAGCAGTTAGAGCCTCCATTTTTGATTGCATCTCATTAATAGCCTTTGTTATTTTGACTTGATTAGATTTTGGTTCTTTTATTTCTCCAAAAAGGGATTCTCTAGTATCTTCTATGCTTTTTTCAAGCCCAGCTAGTATCTTTACAATCGTTATTCTGATCTCTATTTCTGACATCTTACTTATATCCATACTGGTTATGTCCCTGGCAGTCAGTAATGCCTCTTGTTTTCTTTTTTGAGGTGAGTTTTTCCATCTTGTCATTCTTGCAGAAAGTGGTCGCTTTTCTATTTGTAGAATTGAAGCTATTCTTTTCTTAGATTTCTGTTTGAGTTCACAGGTGTTCAGAATGATTTGATAGTTTCTAGTTGAATTCCTGGGACCAGATAAAACTAAAGTCTCCTACTCCTCCACCATCTTGGACTATTTCTTGGCCCCATTGTTTTTGATGAGAAGTCTGCTGACAGTATTAGTTCTGTCTCTGTGTTGGCATTATCTATGTTTTATATAGGTTCTTCTCCATCCTTTTTCCAGTTGCTTTCAAATTTTTCTTTTTAATGTTGGTTTTAGCAGGTTTTTTTTTTAATTACGGTTTTCTGTGTATTTGTCATTCTCGATGTTAGCTGAGCTTCTTGGTTCTGTGGCTTCATGTCTTTATTAACATTTGGAAGATTGCTATCTATAATTTTTCAAATTGGTCTTCTGCCTTAAACTTTCTCTTCCTTCTTGTTTGATCACATGACACTACCCCACAGGTCATTGAGTCTTCTATTTTTTATTCTTATTTTTAAGATATTTATTTCTGATAATTTTTATTAACCTATCTTTAAGTCCATTTATTTCTTCTTATTCATTTCTCATTCTGTTATTATTTTTCTCCAGTTTTTATGAATATTATAATTTTAATTCTGGGCTTCACATTTGGTACTTTCTTAGAAACTTAGAAATACCTCTATTCTGAAACTTGACAACTCTTAAGCAATTATATATATATATATAACTTTTCTGTAGATTCTTTAACATATTTCATAATCATTGAAAAGTTATATTTATCTTATTTATTTTAGTGTATTATTTGTCTTTAGGTCTGTTTATTTTGATAGCTCTTTTCTTCTGACTGTGGCTCATATTTTCTGCTTCTTTGCATGTCCGGTAAGTTTTATTCTACCCTAAACATCACCAACAGCACATTGTAGAGATTTATAGATTCTGGCATTTGCCTCTGAATAATATAGATTCTTCTTCTAATAAAAGTCCTGTTGTAAATATTTTTCATTTTCTGCATATTATGGTGGTTTGATATCTTACAAAACCTTCTGGCTGAGGAGAGACTATTAAATCTTAGAGATAGCAAAGGGCCCAGCCAGAAGCCTGTCTTTGATCTGCAAACTAACCAACCAGAGTCATACCTCTTCTATCTGGCCCCTAAACCTTCCCCTCATTCCTATTTCTGCCTCTGTCTCTAGGACTTGTGAGTATAATAAACTTTGTTTTTTCCTAAACCTATCCTCTGTCTCCTCTTATGGCCATATTTAGCTGACCATCTCATAAAGGAACATAAAACAGAGGTTATGTTCCTGGTGGAATACTATAATTCTGTGAGGTCTTCGTTTTGAGTTTTTTTTTTTTTTTAAGTTTGGTTTATTTCAGTGTTGCCTTAATACAAGGATATAGCCCTTAGTCAACCCCTGGGACATAGTATTTACTCCTAAGACATATCTGTCTGGATGGTAAAATGTGAGGAATTTAATAAGCTATGCTGGCCTTGAACTCCAAACTCATTCTCTTCCACACTAGGTACTACTTGAATTTTTCAAAGTTTTCAGCCTTGCAGCAATTTCTCCCCACTGGGCTGCTTTGAGTTTGCAGGCTCATATAGATTAGGAAATAATTTAAGAGGACATATGGAGATTATTGGGGATTTCCCTGATGGGGCTCCATACATTTTTCTTCTCATCTGGCAGAGGTTCTCCCAGCCCCATACTCAGATCTCTAAATTGTCCCACAAGACTCCTGCTTTCTGCCTGAGCTTATCATCCATGCACCAAATGGATGTGGGTGTGTTCTAAATTCATAAAATGGATAAATATGGACCTCACAGTTTAATTCCATTCTTTCAAAGATTGGACACTATCCATTTTCTGCTTGCATTTACTCACTCAAGAAGTTCATTTTTGTAATTTATGTTAAGTTTATATCTGTTACTTTAATACAAGCTCTTTTGCTATTCTGGAAGTATTAATTATTATATTACTAAATTATTTAATATTTTAAAACTATGTAGTTATAGTAAGGAAATAAATAAATTTCAATGCATTAACTTTATGATATTAGTGACTGATTTATTTTCTCCTCCTTTATAATATTATATTTTCCATATTCATTATCTGCTTGAAAACAATTCTCTTATATTAAGTAATTGTATTTTAGAAGATGACAAATATAATTGGCTACATATATGTAAACATATATGTATATCTAAAAAATAAAGAATAAAATTAATAAATCAGTGAAAGGACAGCTGTGAGGACATTTGAGCTATATTCCTACATGAAAAGGGCAATCATTGCATGCATCTGAATATATTGTACCCTAAAATAAAAGGGACCTCAAAGCACATTAGTTGAAAAATATTTCAGTGCCAAGAATATGCTGAAGCTCTTGTACTTAGTACTATAACCTAATGTGAATTTAAAAGTAAAGCAATCGGAGGGGGAGATGAACCATGAAAGACTATGGACTCTGAAAAACAAACTGAGGGTTCTAGAGGTGAGGGGGGTGGGGGGATGGGTTAGCCTGATGATGGGTATTAAAGAGGGCACGTTCTGCGTGGAGCACTGGGTGTTATGCACAAACAATGAATCATGGAACACTACATCCAAAACTAATGATGTAATGTATGGTGATTAACATAATATAATAAAAAAAAGTAAAGCAGTGTCTCCCTAAGGGGAATACAGATAATGGAATGGGGTCCAAATATACACATTGGTTTTCATAAACCCCTAAGTAATGAGGTAATGAAGGGAAGTAAAGGACAAGAGAAAAATATAACGACAGGGATTTAGTTATTTGCATATGATTCACCTGGTTGAGAAAGAGCCGTATTGATTTTCAGTGGGTGTTTAACTTAGTGTTTTACATCACTTTTGGAGCCAGCCTGTTATTGTCCCTAAAGAATGCTGTACAGTACATATCAGGGAATGAGTTCAAGAAATCATTGTGAAACATTTAACCACTAGGAATTGAGGGATTTTGCAAAGTTCTTTGAACTTTGATATTTACTGAGCAACCACAATTAACGAGCTTCATGGTATTGCACTTAAATTCAGGGTCACACTTGATAACTGCTAATAAACCAGATTTACAACCCCAAACAGCACAGCTGGAATATTTGTAATAATATAGCATTGGAATAACTAATATGCTGTTACTAATCAGTATTATTTTCATCTTGTGGGTTTCCTGTGCTCATGGACAAGGTAAGTTGAAACAGATCTGAACACTTACCTTCTCTCTTAAATGTAACTTCATATCATATCTACTTTCGTGTATCTATAATTTTTTAATGAATTTACTAGTAAAAATAGTCTGTATTGTGATACCATGATGGAGCATAACTTTATAAAGGAAAATTATCTTGTGTTTATCTAATGGGAAAATAAAATAAATTGTTTTCTATTTCCTAAATTTGACAGGAGAAGGACACTCAATGCTGATTATGGAGATGTGTGAGTATGCTCACACAACTTTAGGAAATATGTCACAAGAAAAGTGAGATTCTGACCTCAAAATATATGGAGGTTTCTTATTTTTAATGCAAGAAATGGATATCTACATAATCTTATATATGGTGATGGTTTTATGGCTTTGTATGTCAAAACTTCTTAAATTTAGGGGTAGAATATTTGTCACATTTTTTAACTATTGAGAGTCATTTAAAAATCTGAATTAATCAGAAATGATCAACACTTAATAGTAATTTCTACTAATGCAAGAAGATGCTTTTTGGTTGAGATAAAGTCATTCTAAAATATTTTGGATTTGTAGGGGCACCTAGGAAGCTCAGTTCGGTAAGTGACTGCCTTCGGCTCAGGTCATGATCCCAAGGTCCTGAGATCAAGCCCCTCATTGGGCTCCCTGCTCTGCAGGGGAGTCTGCTTCTCCCCCTTCCTCTGCTCATCCTCTCTCTCTCACTCTCTCTTTCAAATAAATAAATAAAATCTTTAAAATATATTTTGGATTTGAAATAGTGTAAAGTCTGTGTTGTTATTCATAATATGTGGGTATATAATTTTTAAGTATACATTTATATACATATCACTTAACTAAAACTACTTAAAACATAAAAATATCTATCTTTATAGTACATAATATGTATTTGTCCTAAGCTAGTGGTTTAGTTAAATAAAGTAATTGATGTTTTTTTTGGTGAAAACTGCTTTCCCAATTCACTCACACAAAGAAACTTATTAAATCAGACATTTCAAATATATGCAGTTTACCGTATTTCAATTATACTTTAATAAAGCTGTTACGAGGGACACCTGGGTGGCTCAGTTGGTTGAGCTTCCAACTCTTTGTTTCAGCTGAGGTCATGATCTCAGGGTCATGGGACCCAAGCCCCATGTTTGGCTCTGGGCTCAGCAAGGAGTCTGCTTCTCTTCCTCTCCCCCGCCCCCTCCCTCTGCTCTCACTCTCTCTCTTAAATAAATATAAATAAATAAATCTTTAACAAAACTAAAGCTGTTACAAGCAATTATGATCAATTTAATATTTCAACAAAATTAGCATCAAGACAATACATTTTAATTTACATTTCTGAGTCCACTGGTAAATATTGAGTAAATAAATAATTTTCAGAGCATTAGCTGTAGCACATTGCTCACTGATTTGTTTTCACCTTTCAAGTAATACATTTTCTAGATTATGTCTCTGAATTCAGTCCTTGTTATTAAAAATTATATCTCATGACATAACAAATATAATTGGTAGATTTTTAAACTTTAGAGAGCAATTTATTTTTGTGTACTAGTTCTAATAGCTTTTTGCTGCATGTGTAAAATCTTTAAGATTTTTATTTATACAATTACATTTTTCTCCTTTCTTAATGTCTTTATAAATTCATTATGATATCTTTTTAAAGGCTCTTTCTTTTAAAATCAAAAACTCTCATTTCCAAATTATTATAAATGAAATCTCTAAAGGGCTTTAGGATACTTCATTGCACCATTTTTGAATAGAATATAAATCACAATGCTTTACTTCTGAATTTACTAAAATTCATTTTGGTAATTTGCAGTACACAGAGTTTTATATGCTCTTTAAGATTATATCCAGGTAATTCCCTTTACTAGCAACAATAACAACAAGAAAACAAAACATCCCATCTAGTTTGAAACTATCCTCCCTCAATGAATTCTTTCTGAAAGCAGCCTTTGAGATGAATGCCCTATAAGTTTGGGTTGCACCAATGTTTCTCAAAGGAGAATTGAACTCACTTGGTGGAAGCACACTGTTTTGTATACAGAAGACATCTTTGTGTGTTTATTGGCATGGGTTGAATTGTGTTCCTGCAAAATTCAAATGCTGAAATCCTAACTCCCAGGACCTGAGAGTGTGACTGTATACAGAAATAGGGTCTTTAGAGAAGAAATTAAGTTAAAAAAGGTCATTAGGGTGGATCCTAGCCCAATAAACCTGGTGTCCCTATACGAGGAAGAAATTAGGACAGAGACACATAAAGGGAAGACTCAGGGAGAAGAGGCCATCTACAAGCCAAGGACAGATGCCACAGAAGAAACCATTCCTGGTGACACCTGATCTCTGACTTCTAGCTTCTAGAATTACAAGAAAATAAATTTCAGATATTTAAGCCACCCATTTTACAATTATAGTTTCATATGTGTATATGTTCATATATCCTATGTAATGTGTTGTCTAGAGTAGGAGAAGAGGGATGGAAAGGGCCAAGATTTCTGAGGGGAGATCTGCAGAAGACGCAGAAAGAAGAGACACAGAAAGTGAATAGAGAACTATAAATAGTCTGACCATCCCATCCCAAGTGAATTTCTTAGATCTGAGAAGCCTACTGGTAGAACCACTTCTATTCTTTCCTCAGTTTTTACATTTTAATCTTGGAAATACTTCTGAAGAACTTAAACATCACAAATGTCTCAAATACCTTTATACTCCTGGTTATAGATTGTCCCAGTTCTTGAATCACAAACCTAAGTGGAACAATTAATTTAAATAGAATAATAAATTCAGGGCGCCTGGGTGGCTCAGTTGGTTAAGCAACTGCCTTCGGCTCAGGTCATGATCCTGGAGTCCCGGGATCGAGTCCCACATCAGGCTCCCTGCTCGGCGGGGAGTCTGCTTCTGCCTCTGACCCTCTTCCCTCTTGTGCTCTCTAACTCTCATTCTATCTCTCTCAAATAAATAAATAAAATCTTTAAAAAAACAGAATAATAAATTCATCAATATGATTATTAAAATAAAATATAATTATTCATGTATGATACTTTTTTTTTTCTGAAGGAGGAACTTGTGATTTTCCAGAAATAAAACATGGAAACATATATGATGAAGACAGATATAAACAAAGCTTCCCCGTTGCTATAGGAAAATATTTCTACTATTCCTGTGATCACAGCTTTGTGTCTCCTTCACAGTCACTCTGGACTCAAATAATCTGCACAGAGGAAGGATGGTCACCAACACCAAAGTGTATCAGTGAGTAAATACATGGTCATTATCTGGATGAATTATTCAGTGCATTCAGTGGGGGAGATGGGGTTGAGGGGGATGTCAGGGGGGCTCACAAAGTTTAGACAATTACAGAGTTGGGGACTGGAGGAGCCAGCAAGGACAAGATAGTCATTCCTCTTGTAAGAAGCTGTTTGTGGAAACAAATCAGAAAAAAAACCAAGTACAAACTTTTGTGTAATATCTAGATCTTCTCATTTTAAATGCTAATGGTCAATACTGTTAACTGCTACTATTTAATTCAAACACACTCATTTGGTAATTGTATGAATGTAGATTTTCTCAAGAGAGTTTATTTGTGGGGCGTCTGGGTGGCTCCGTTGGTTAAGCAACTGCCTTCAGCTCAGGTCATGATCCCAGGGTCCTGGGATCAAGTCCTGCATAGGGCTCCTTGCTCAGTGGGAAGCCTGCTTCTCTCTCTTCCTGCTGCTGCCCCTGCTTGTGCTCTCTCTCTCTCTCAGATAAAAAAATAAAAAATCTTGGGTCGCCTAGGTGGCTGAGTTGGTTAAGCATCTGCCTTCGGCTCAGGTTATGATCCCAGGGTGCTGGGATAGAGTCCCACTTCGGGCTCCCTGCTCAGTGGGGAGCCTGCTTCTCTCTCTCCCTCTGCCTGCTGCTCCCCCTGCTTGTGCTCTCTTGCTCTCTGTCAAATATATAAATAAAATCTTTTAAAAAAAATAAAATGAAAACTCTTAAAAAAGAGTTTATTTGTATGTGTAATATCTGATTCAAAATGTGCTGTTTCTTTGAATATTCAAGAAGCATTTTTAAGCTATTTTCCTTAATTTTGTGTTTTTTACTGATTACATCTTTGTTTTTTAAAATTATATCTCTTACCCTCTCAATGAGTACAGAGAAAAAGCAGAGAAGTGAAGAAAACAGTGTCATAAGAGAAAAGTAACAAAGGCAAAGGAGAAAAAAGTCATCTCTTCCTTCAAAAATCAATTTAGACAATCAAATGAGAAATAAAAACTAACTTTTCTGATATCTAGAGGAATTTTACAAATGTAAAAAGTTTTATATATGCATGTGGTGATTGATGACATTACATATTTTTTTCTTTTTAACTTGCATGAACTAATATTTAAGAATCGAATTTTTTGCACTTGATTTCTCTTTTGAAATTTGCAGAATGTACTACTCTTTCCTTGCAAGATTTGTATTTGTCATCTTTTCGGTTTTCAGGGCAGTGCTTTTTCCCTTGGGTGGAAAATGGTCATTCGGCATCTTCAGGACAGACACACCAGGAAGGTGACACTGTACAAATTGTCTGTGATACAGGCTACAGCCTTCTATATAATCAGAGCAGCATCCGATGTGCAGAAAGTGGCTGGTCCACTCCTCCTAAATGCAGTCAGCGAGGTAAGTAAAATACTGTCCTTTTGGGATCCTGTATTTTTTTTTTTTATAAAGACTTAGCAGCAGGAAAGATATACAGCATTGCTTTGTGCATTATGCATTGTGATTGTCCCCCTTTTAGGTTTAGGGTTCCAACTGTATCTAAGTAGATATGAAAGTCTCTGGATAGTCACTAGAAAATCATTTTGTCCCCTTACGTGAGTTAAATGTAGGCAATATTAGAAAACACTCGTCAAGAACACAATGAAAATCTTTGAAAGATCCCTGCATGTTTTAGTAACACAAATGTAATGTTATAATGAAATTAGGCAAAATCAGTTGACACAGCATGAAGATAAATTAAATTTTACAGAGTGTAATTGTTAAAATACCACATGTGCAAGATCTTACTGCTAAGAAACATAGCTACTTGGCACTTATCTTTTTTGGCAAGTGCTAAATTGATCTCATTTAAAGACTAGCACAAACATATTGATAATTTTCACATTGTTAGAACTTTGTACTTCTGAAATTCAGATTTCCAGGGTATAATTTAGAACATGGAAAACTCCTTCATAAGAAACCACATCAAAAACAGGAATATATTGGAACTGAAGTTGAGTTGAGTTTCTCATACTTTTAATGGAAACAAAGCAGTTGCTGGATGTGAATAAGGGTCTCGGGAATAATAAGATTCCTAAAGCATAGTCAAAGCCTCTAAGGGAACAGTGTCTATTCTATCCCTCCATATTTTCCCACTCATTATTAATTCATTTAATCAATATTGTGAACTTGTATATGCCAAGCAGTACAACTGTTGGAGATTAGTGCTCTATAAGAGTCAGTGTATCTTTATTCATAGACTATAATGTCAAGTGGAAAACTGACAGTAACAATAATAATTTTACAAAGAAGAAAATAGAAAATTAAAGATGATGAATCATGCACATTATAAAAGATAATATTAATAAAATGACTGGACGAAGTTCATGTTTCACATGATATAGTTTTTGAACCTTCTCCAACCTTAAGGATGGCACCTGGAGAAGAGTTAGATCAATCATCTGAAGGTATCAAAAGGCTTCTACTCAATGAAAGAAAACAAGGAGGCCAATGTGGCTGGCTCATGATGAGGCAGAGTGTTGAATTAATTTAGAAGTTATAAGCCATAGCACATATTTTGGATTTTAGTCTATGTGCAATCAGAAACCTCTGGGAGATTTTCAGCAGGCAAATGACACAAAATGGATTTAAAACAAGATCATTATGAATGCTATTTTGAAAATGAATCTGAAGTGACCAAGAAGAGAAGAAGGGAGGAGTGCCAGTAAAAACATTACCATCATCTAGATGCGGCATGTTCTGGGGTACAATAAAATGGAGAAAAGAAGCATTTTTCTGGAGTCGCAGTTTATGTTATTTGCAATGTAGAAAAGGAGAGAATTGAACTGTCTGATACAGTGTGAATATTACAGTATGTCAAGCATACTTTTAAATGAATGGAAAACAAAAAAAATCAAGAAGAGTCTTAACGCCTTAAACCTTTGTAATGTTATTTGTCAATTACATCTCAATAAACTGGGAGAAAAAGAAGCAAGTCTCTTGTAGAGAGCATATACCTGATTCCGAACATTTTTAGACCTCTTTCTCCAAAACTTTGCTTTTTAAATGGAGAGTTTAAATCATTTAAAGTAATTACTGATAACAAATTTCTTACCACTGCCATTTTAATTTGTTTTCTGTATGTCTCATATCTTTTTGTTCTCAGTTTTCCATTAATGCCTTTTTTTAATGTTTAATGGATTTTTTTGTAGTGAACCAATCTGATCCCCTTCTGATTTGCTTTTCTTTCTACTCTTTAGTGATTTATTTTAGTGGTTTCTCCAGGGATTACAAATCACATCTTAAATTTACAATTACCTAGTTTGAATTAGTACCAGCCAAGCTGAAGTAGCATTTAAAAATCTGCTCCTATACATCTTCATTCCTTCCCCTTTTTATGTTATTGTCACACAGTATATCTTTGTTATTGTGTTCCCATTAATATAGATTTATAATTATTGTTTCATGCATTTGTCTTTTAAATCATATAAGAAAAATAATTTAAAAACATAAACACAATAATAATGGCTTTTATATTTCCCTTTATTACCTATAGTTACCTAATGGTACCTATAGTGATCTTTACCATTGTCCTCTATGTCTTCATTTAGCTTCAAGTTACTGTCTGATGTCCTTATACTTCAGCCTTCAGCATTTCTTATAGGTCATGTCTACTTGTAACAAATTCCCTCAGTTTTTGTTTATTGGAGGATGTCTTCATTTCTCCTTCAGTCTTGAAGGATATTATGGCCCAATATAAAATTGTTGCTTGATTTTTTTTCCCTTTTAAATATTTCTTATCACTGCCTCCTGGCCTCCATGGTTTCTAAGGAGAAATTGACTCTTGATGTTAATTAGGGCTTCTGATATGTGATACGTGGCTTCTTTTTTGCTACTTTCAAGATTTTATCTTTGGATTTGATACTTTGATTCTAATGTATCTCAGTATGGACCTCTGCATCTGAGTTTTTTCTCCTTGGAGTTTGTTGAGATTCTTGGATGTGAAGATAATACCTTTTATCAAATTTGGGAAGGTTTCACCGATTCATTTGAATAGTGTTTCGTTTTTCTTCATTTTGTTCTGCTCATTTTTCTTCATTCTTTTTTCTTACTGCTCCTCTTTTGACCTACCTTCAAGTCCATTGATTCTCTTTTTTTGTTATATTTTCTTTGCTCCTTAGAGACTTCTCCTTCAGTCATATTTTAAGGGTAATTCTGCTGGCAACAAATTCAGTTTTCCTTTGAGACTTTCTTATTTTCCTATATTCCTAAAGGATATAGAACTTGAGGTTGATAATTCTTTTGTTCCACCACTTTTAAAATATTGGGCCACTTGTCCTGGCTTCCTTAGTTTTGGATGAGTAGTTTACTCTCATTTGAATCATTGTTTGCTTATTGGTTCTGCATTATTTTTCTCTAGCTACATTTAGGATTTTTTTTTCTTTTCCTTTAATTTTCAGCAATTTGATAATGATGTGTCTTGACATGGAGTAGAGCTTGCACAGTTTCCTGAAGAGGTATATTTATATGTTACATGTATTTGGGGAAATTCTTAACCACAATTCTTTAAGTATTTTTTTTAGCTCTACACCCTTTCCCCTTTATGGAATGCCAGTCTTACTTATTTTCCCACAAGTCCCTGCAGTCTGTTAATTTTGTACCTTTACATTCTATTTTTAGATTAGATCATTTCTATTCATCTATCTTCAACATCAATGATTCATTCTTCCATTATCTCTAATTTATTACTGAGCTCCTTCCAATGAGGGTTTTTTAAATGTTTTATTATTGTATTTTTCAATGTATAATTCTTATTTGGTTCTTTAAATTCGATATCAAAGAGTTCCACAATCTGAGTGATCTCGAAGTTAGCATCTGTTCATTTTCTTTTCTCTTTTGAGATTTTCCTGAATCTTAGTGTGATGAGTAATTTCCAGTTGTATCCTGAATCATTGGGGTATAATGTAGTAAGAAATGGGATTTTATTTAAACCTTCTATTTGATCAGGCCTCCACTGATACAACTCTTGCAGGTAAAGGAGGCAATGACTTATTAGTGCTGGATGGTAAAGGCCTATCACTTGTCTTTGCTGACATCTCCCTAGACTGAGGTTGGGGTGCCACCTTATTACCAAGCAAGGTGCATTTCCAACTATGCACTTGCCTTCCACTGATACCGGGGGAGAGGAGAGGTAATTTATTGCTGCAACTGTGGACATAAGTATAGCATAAGCAGTGAGCCTCTGCTCACATCATGGGAAGAGCAAGGAGCACCTTGTTTGGTAGGGCAGGTTGAAAATCTAATCTACCCACTTAGCCTTTCCTGATAGGCAGACTGCAGTGTTTCTATGGTGTTTTTCTAGGATAAGTTAGGTATTATTTAAAAAAAAAAAAAGATCTGTCTTTGTAGGCTGTTTTTCTTGGCCTTTGCCTAGAAAGAGACCATTCTCTTTCTTTATTCTTTTGGGTTTTTTTTTTTTTGGTGTAAATTTCATGGCTCTAGGTTGAAAGTTTCTCTCATCGCATGTCTGGGATATGCAAGAAGTAAAAAGAAACCCAAGGAATTCACAGCTCTGTTGCTCCTTTTGTTTCTATATCCCTAGTAAATCTGACTTCTCTACATTGTTCAGAGTTTCCTTATGTTTGTTTTATATAATATGTCACTTTTGTGTTATACTTAGCAGAGGGAGTTAGAAATGCTTCTAGATTCCATCTTTCTGAAACAGGAAGTTAGTATACCCTTTTTACCTTCTATAAATTTGTTTCTTTAATTTTTGCAAGGAGTTGATTTTTAAAAACAATGAAAAAATTAAATGACTAGTGTCCCAAGAGACATTGTAGTAGGTTGTATAAGAGTACAGGAACTTTAGGGGCACCTGGGTGACTCAATTGGTTAAGCAGCTGCCTTCAGCTCAGGTCATGATCCCAGTGTCCTAGGATAGAGCCCCACGTCGGGCTCCCTGCTCAGCATGGAGTCTGCTTCTCCCTCTGCCTCTGCCACTCCCCCTGCTTGTGCTCTCTCTCTGTCAAATAAATAAATAAAATATTTTTAAAAAAGAAAAGGTACAGAAACTTTATATGATGGCTAACTATGCAACTGCCCATCATTGCAAACATCATTTTTATACTGGAATATGGCAAAGCAGAAATATTTATTTCTAGGGTATGTGTGATTTAACGTGGCATTAATGGAAGGGCTACAAGATATTGTAATCCTCACTTTATATGATTAGAACTTCACCAATAAATTATTTCTTTCCTCAGAATCACACAAGTCCCGAAATTACATATTGTGCTGCTTCTCAGACATACAGGATATTTTGTATATAATTCCTAATAATTTCACATAACAATACATTAAAAGAAGCAAGTCAAAGTAGGGTTCTATCATAATACTTTTAAAAGGTGGCACAGTTTGATTAC